CCTATGCCTCCCAGTCTCCACCACCTGAAACCAGTCTTAGGGTCTAAACACCCTCCCCGCCAACAACCTCTGGCCAACCTTCCTGTCGCATTTACTATTTAACCATAGGCTATTTGGCTGCAATCTGCCGTGAATGCAACTCAAACAGGCTCTAAAAATAAAGGATGAAACCGCAAATCTTTTTTTAACGCCGACGCCGACACCTCTCTGCTTGAGAGACGACCATGCGGGAGGACTCTGTGTGGCGCGTGCACGTAGATGGCGGTGGTTTGTCTGCTAAAGTTTTACGTGGGAAATTAGTGATTTTCTTCCTTCACAGAGGAGAGTACCGAGCAGCTGAGGTTGGCGTCACCTTCCGTTGCTAAGGTAACGAGCTCTGGCCGTTTTAGTAATAAAGGAAGTCCAGCGGCCGGAATACATTATTCATCGCGGCTCTAATCAAACAATCCAAACTGTTTATTTTCACTGGAACTGTTTAGTGAGATCAAAGACCTCCGGCTGGCACTGCTTTTGTTTTGCGACTGAAAGTTAGCCCTCGGTTCCCCCCTCCTTTCCAGTAAGTATAATTTGTTGTTGGGTTACCTTTGGGTGTTTTAAACGTTTCCTCGGACTAGACTGGGCTGCTTAGCTTAACCTGCGCGGGTTAGGAGGAGAAACGAGTCGGGTTAGCCTACTGAGCTTGGTTTGAATAAAGTCTTTCCCTTGTCACGCTGTCCTATGACATCCTGTTGGGACAGAGATGCTTCGTTTGTGCAAGTCCCAGGCAATGCCTCCGCTGCTCAAAGGGAGACCCCAGCGGGCAGTGTTTGCAATATGCTGTATTCGCTTCTGCCAGGCTTCCCGGTGCTAAGATAGAGGGGTGGGCACCCTGCCTGGATCATTGTCACTGCTCCCCACTGCACCATCTTTTCTCAGAAGCAGCGCACCCAGGGGCAGGCGGGTGACTACCCTGTAGCACTTGGCAAGGTGTGCTCGAGAGAATCGCTGGGGGAGGCATTCAGGGCGTTTCAGTAGCATGTGTGTCGCCAAGGAAAGGAGGCTTAGCGGGACTCATTCGGAACTCTCCCAGCTGCTCGAAGATTGAGACTCAAAATCCGCAGGGGCTTAATGACTATGCCCTGTCCCCGACTGACTTTCTCGGGAGTGATAGCTGGTGTCTTTCCCGGGGTATTTTCCTGCCAGTATCCAGCAAGGAAGGACTGGTATGGCTTTTGTTTGGTTTGTTATCTTTCGCCTGGACCAGCTGTTTTGGTTTTTTTTTTCCTCAGTAGAATGTATTGCTTGTAATGACTTGGTTAAATGTTGCATTTTCTCCTATGATTAGAAAGCTGCATGGAGCAGACAGGGAGGTGGTGGTGGTGGTGGTGTCAAATGTGGGTGTGTGTAGGGGTCTGACTCTGAAATTATGAAGTGTGTCTGTATGTCTTGGAAGGATCTCTTTCACCCTCTGAAATCCTCTTTCCCAGGTGGTCGAAGTGAACTTTCCCTCATAGAACTCTGCGTGGGGCACATCGAAGATGGACTATCCCAAAATGGATTATTTCCTGGACGTTGAGTCTGCTCACAGGCTCTTGGATGTTGAGGCGGCTCAGAGATTCTTCTACAGTCAAGGGGCTCAAGGTAACGAGAGGAGAGCAAGGAGGGAGGGGCCTCTCTTGGCCTGTTGGTTTATAGTCTGGGTGTACAGCATGGGCTCCCGCAGGTTAACTTTGGGCTCTGTCCGGACGTTCAACAAACGAGAGTTCGAAATGGATAGTCTCTACCGAACTGTTGTTGGAATTGAGGCAGACGGTTCACAGAAGGAACAGGTCTAAACAAAAATCCAACAACAACAATGTATGTACCTTGGGGAACAAATGAGAGCAGGGTCCAAAAATGACTGCCCCCACCCCCACTCCTGCCCAAAGCATATGCCTTAAAGGAAGCAGGGATGTTGGTCCCCCCGGAAAAGGGTTTGAGTGTGCCGACTCGGCACTTGATGAAACCCAGGGCACCTTGACCTCGCCGAATGGACGCCATCCCGAGGAGGGGCTCTGCAGGTCAGCGTGGCACTCTGCCACTGCCTTCGCCCCTTTAGAGGTCTGCAGTGACTTCCTGGAGAATGGGTACTACCCTCTCCGGGGAGATGGGGCACCAAAAGGAAAGCCAACTCTATCGGGAGACACAGAGCACAGTGCATTTGATTCCACGTTTCAATCCAGTCAGTTAGCCTCCAGTTTGCTGTTTGGTTGCTCTTGTGTCCAAAGGTGCATTCAGAAAGAATGTTTTGCCATCACAATAGAGCAAAAGAGAAGCTGGAGTGTTCTATGGGAATTTCTGATAGGCCAGAGATCTATCTAGACCTGTCTGTCTCTATATCCGTATCTATCTATATAGAGAGAAGTTCCCTTTTCCAAAGACTATCTGGGGTTTTTCAGCAGAGCAACCTGGTCACCTGTATGTCCCAAATGGCACACTGAGGAGGAAGAAGGTGTCCCTATATTTAAATGAAAATAGTAGGTGAGTTCCTGCAGCCTGTGCCTCTCGCTGTTAGATGGCAGTGGGCACACTGGGGTCAGGGGATGTGCTGCCATCCCAGTGCTGAGTGGGATCCTCTGAGCTGGCTTTTACTGGCGCTGCAGCCTTTTGCTCAGTGCAAATTTGAGGGCTTGCCCACCACCCCTTTCTCAGCTCCCCTCTCCAGTGCACAGTCAGGCCGTGGGAAGCCCAGGGGGGATTGGAACCGATCCAGTTGGTTTTCTTGAGCCTGGAGCAGCCCACTCACCAGCAGAGCTGAAGGCAGCAAATTCTCCACAGCCTGCTGGATGTGTGTACTTAGCACTGTCACTCTTAGTCACTTAAAGAGACATTTTTAAAATGCTATTGGTGCAGCAAAGGGATGAGAGGCTGACCAGAGCCCCCAGCCTCTTTGTGGTCTGCAAACAGATCCTGAAATCAGGTGTCCATATTGCTGATCCCAATGCACAGTGACCTCAAACAAGTTAGAGCAGAATTGTACCCCCCAGGGTTGTCAAGGTCGGATTTTTTCAGAAGTGAATGGCTATGCCTTTCTTCTGAGGTCCTTCTGAGTAGATTCAAACCTCCAACCGTTTGGTGAGCAAGCAAGTGTGTTGACCATTTGCATCACCAAGGAACTCCTGCAAATCGCATGGATATAGCAGAGTGGGCGAGAAAGGAAAGAGTGAGAAGCTCATCACTAGGCTGGGGTTCCAACCTTGTCATCTCTGGTGCATTCAATATGATTGATAGACTATGGTCCATGGGGGTGTCCGGCCCTGGAACAGAGCCGGGAGCAGCAGTGAATGGTGCATCATGTGAATTTCCATTTGTCTTGCAGTAGGGTTGATTGAAGCCTTTAAGAAGGCTGTGGGCTCTGGGCTTATACAGAAGGAAAGCAGGCAGCGTGTTGGAGGCTCAGAGGACTCCAGGCTGCCTGGTGACTGTCGGCAGATGGGGCTGGGGGTGGAGTGGTCAGAAATGTTGTCATCAGTGGTTTAGGCACCAGACCTGGAGGGACTAGAATAGCCGAGGGGGGTGGTAGCATAAGCGACTGCTGCCCCCTGGCGCCACGTTCTTTGGGGGGGCAAGCAGAAGGATGTTCCAGTGGTGGAATTTAGGATTTGCAGTCAAGACGGAAGCTGCCTTCAGATCAAGGTTCCAGCCCACCTCCTCCCACTTCCAGAATCGGAGATCTAGGTGTCAGGCCTTGGGGTTGGCGTTTTCAACTAACACCATGGGGTTGTTAACTTGCTCACTGCTATTGAGCCAGTTCCAACTCTTGGTGACCTTTTGGATAACAGAGAGAGGAGACAAGCCTCTGGATCACAACAGATAATTAAAGATTGTTCCCAAACCAGTCAAGGCATCTGCACTTAAGAATCATCTCATCCACTCCAACGTCTGTTCTTGATCCGGAACAGAAATGTTTTCCCTCAGCATTGAGGCAGGATCACACAACGGTTACAGACACTGGGGCCTTACCATCTAGGTTCATGTCCTGGGGCTGCCACTGCGAACTTGGGCAAATTTACCTCTTTGATCTTTGACTCCCTCCTCTGCAAAATGAAAACAACCATAGTTCCTAATTCGTAAAGTTTCTATGACTACTACCGAGGTAATATTTTAAAATACTTGCAACCGTGTCTGTCACATAGGAAACACTGTATAGATATGCAAATCGATAAAACCAGCAACCTTGACAAATGGCCCTGTCCCCTCTGAGATTTTATTGGGAAATGATTGCTTTGCAGACAAGAACTGTGTGGTCTAAAAGGAATTTAACCTCTTATCACCAGCAACAACGCAAGCTAAAAAGTAATTTTAAAATGTCAGTTGCTTTTATGCCCACCTCAGAGCGTGATTTTTCAGTTTTGTCTGTTCTGTCATCCAGATGTTTTTATAGACTGGTCAAGTGTTCTTACCATTCGAAACGCTTTGAAAGGGGGAACAAGCAACTTGGCATTTCCGCCTCTCATTCCCTACCTGTCCCTCGCCAACGTCACGGTTCGTGTTTTGGTTTCTTCTTTTCAAATGTACAAACATCTTGAAATATACAAGTGCAAGATCAGCCTTTGAGGATGTTCAGGTTGAACTAGACCTTATAGGTTAGAGGGACTCTTGGGTCTTTGGCCAAATCCAATGAAGCAGAATGCAGACTCTCTGAGGGGCAGCTACAGGCTCCACTGCCAAGCACCTTCTATGTGATGAAGAAAATATTTATCAGATACAGCAATGCCAGAATTATAATGGTTTTGATTACATCCTGGTTGAATTTTTCAGCATTTTCTTCATTGGGAATTGGCAAAATGCCCATCTGGATTTAGAGGCAGTTTTTAGCTAGCTAAAACCAGATGAATCAGGAGTGTGAGAAGAAGAAAACGATGAGACAGATCTGTCTGGAAGTACCAGGGCTTTTCAAAGGCCAGTAATGTACTCTGGGCAATAAAGCAGCGGCTTTCCCCCCAGTTCCGCTAGTTCCCTGGTCTGACCCTGAGATGAGGCTCGTCAGCTGCCACCCAAGGGATTTGGCTTTAAAAAACACAATGTGTCTTGGACATGAGGCATGCTCTCCCAATTCACCTCTGATGCTTTTGGACAGTAAACCCTGCTAGCACAGAGGAAGTTCTGGGAAGATCCCCTTTAATTCAAAAGGAGCATTCTGGGCTCCAAGTTCAGTCGTCTTGATCTTTAATTTGCATCCATCCATCTTCCAGCTTTCTCGCCGTGATCTCCCACACACTCAATTCCGGAGGTCCCATCGTGAAAGCACGGAGGTAGCCCCTGAGGACGTTGAGGTGGAAACAGGCAATGTGGATCGGAGAGTCTCTTGAGCTTTAGCTAAATCGGATGAAGCGGAATCTGCGGGTCAGTTACAGGCTCCACCATGACTTCAAATCCGCTCCTGGCCTATTCTGAGAGATACTGCTGCTTGAGGACTGCCAGGGCATACGTCCAAGGCAGAGTTCAAAAGGAGTAGGAGAGAAGGAAAAACAAACAAACCCCAAAAACCCCAGAAAACACAGAGAGAGGGAGTGGGATAAAAGATAAAAATTGCGGGGATTGTAGTCAAAGGTCTGGAACAAAATGTGTGTGATTTGTTTCATGGAAAACCTCTCTCTCTCTCTCTCTCTCTCTCTCACATACACACACACACATACACACACAGGTCAGTGAGCAGTAATGCCAGACTCACCCAGGAGCTTGCTCACCCCCACCAGTTGCCATGGAGTCGATGCCAACTCATGCCCACAGTGGTATAGAATTGTGCTCTGCAGGGCTTTCAATGGCTGGTTTGGGGGAGTAGATCTTCAGAGTGCCTCTGAGTGGACTCATCTAATATTTGAGTAGCAGCCAAGCCTTAACCTTGAACCAATGGCATTACTCAGGGGACCCAGGGGCTTGCTAGACACACAGACTCTTGGGTCCCACCTGAGAAGGAAAGAATGGAATATTAATAAAAATCCCCAAATAGTTTACATGAAAATTCAGAAAGGAATATTTTAGTTCATTGCACACTACAAAATACCTGGAACCTTTTTAAGACTCCCCTCCTTGTCTTCCCCTTCCCCTGGTGGCATGGTGCTTACCACAGGATCCATCAGCCTCGTAGGGGAGAAAGACAGGGCTTTCTACGCCTGTCCACAGTTACTGCTTGGACAGCCACAAGGGCCATTGTGCCGGGTCTGGCAGGGTCACTCTGCGTCAGGATTGACTGCATGGCATGGGTTTGATTTTGTTTGTTTTTAACCTCTCCCTCGTGGCTCAGAGCTTACTTCAGACCAATCAGCTCAGTGTCTGGGGTAAATTCACACATGATCATTTTTAATTCCTCCAGGCTATTCAAATATGCCGTTAGGACTGGGAATTACTGACCTTTCCTTTGATAGTGAAAAAAAGAAGTTTTATCCATCCTGCAACAATTCTTGCTTGTGTGCTTCTCTCTATCCTGATCTCCCCCATTCAATGGGAGCCATTGGAAGGACTGCAGATGGACTTAACTGAATATCCAAGAGTATGTGCCTCGTCTGTTCATTGCTTCCATTTCATCTTACAGAAAGCTTGGGCAGTCAGGGTTGTGATTCTCGTTTTATGGATTAGAAAGCTGCAGATTGGTGAGGTGA